GAGATGACCCTGCCCACTCACCACAGCGCCCGCCCCTTGGGGGCCGTTTGGGGTCGTATCAGCCATGGGAGACCAATTCGCGCCTGCGACGCTGTAATCGCCGGGAGAGAAGAAAGAAGTGACAGAACGTCAGCGCTGGGGCCACGACCCGGGTAACCGGCTTGCCCGCCGCGCCGTGCAGGAACTTCGAGACTCCAGAGAGCAAGGTTTCGCCGGACCCGCTGCAACGCACTGCCCAGAGACACCCACAGCGGCCGGGATATACCTGTCCCGCACCGCCGAGACCAAAGCAGGCTTTCTAGAAAGACCGAAGCGAAGGCGGAGCTTTGGCAAGGCCGTAAAGGACCGCCCAGTGCTGCCGGCTCCCGGTTACTGCCGACCTCGGAAGTACTCCTTTCACTTCCGAGGGCATGAGGCGGTGACGGTGAGGGCAAGCGGGAGTGGCGTCCTGGGGCATGTCGGGAAGTGTAGTTTTTCTCTTCCTTTCGGCTGCATCTCTTTTCCTGAGTCGTTAGATCAGTGAACTAAGAAATAAGACTGGCTAAATTTTGCCTCGTGCGTGGCACAAGGATGATCTTCTCTACCCTTTTCAAACCACAACATCTCTTTAATCCCTAACATAAAGGCCTCGGAAGCATTTTTGATCTCTCCTTCTCTTGCTTGCTAACTATTTCTCAACTTATACAAATTTTTCAACAGGCCAGATGAAAGACCCGGATCCCAGGCTGGGGAGGAATGGGCGGATGGTTCTGCAGATGAAGGCTTAAATCCGAGATCATGGCAAAACATCTGAAGTTCATTGCCAGGACTGTGATGGTACAAGATGGGAACGTGGAAGGTACATACAGGACACTAAACAGAATCCTCACGATGGATGGGCTCATTGAGGACATTAAGCAACGAAGATATTATGAAAAGCCTTGCCGCCACCACCAGCGGGAAAGCTACAAAACCTGCCAGCGGATATACAACATGGAAATGGCTTGAAAGATCAACTTCTTGATGAGAAAAAAACGTCCAGATCCATGGGAGGGCTGCTGAAGCCTGTGGGTAGGAGGCTCACATCCAGTTTGTGTCTCCACGTCTTCTTCCTTGAAACTCATTTTGTTATCTTTGTAGTAAACTCATATATATGCAAAAAAATTAAAAAAAATTTTTTTTCAACAAATCTTACACAGCCTGCTGTATAGCAGGTTCTCTGTTTAGCTTGGAGGGTGAAAAGAAGATATGACACAAATTGAATGAGAAACACACAAGTAAGCGAAATCACAACATAAATTCTTAGAATATGGTCAGAAGCTGAGTTAATCTCAGGAAGTACAAGGTGCCTCCGTAGGTTTCCAGGAAATGATAATTGTGGCCATATATCATGAAGGACAAGAAGTTGGGTGACAGCACAGGGGATTTCAGACAGGAACAGAAAGTGCAAGAAGTAATAGCCCAGAGATCGAGTTCAGTATGAGCAGAAAAAGGGACAAGTCAGAGAACTATAAAAAGATTTGGGTTAGAAAGGCAGGAAGGGTTGTGCTAAGCAAAGAATGTGAACTTGATTTTGTACCAGAGTCATGGTGCAACTTTAAGCAGAAGTTTAGTATCCTCAGATTTAGAAAAATCACTCTTTAACAACAGAGTTGAAAATGATCAGAAGGGAAGCCAGGAGATTTCTTGGGAGAACATTATGTTCATCTAGAAGGGAGATTTTCGACTAAAGCAGTTTGGGAAGGAAGAGAAAAGATTACGTGGAGGTAACTTTCAAGATTCTGTAACTAGACGTGTAGCAGAGAGAAGGTAATTTGCTGAGTCTTACAGGGGAGGTGTAGAGAAGAATGCATTACAAGAGCAGTGCAGGGCCAGAGAGGTAGCTCAGGGGACTAAGCGCCTGCTCAGGCAAGTGCAGGAACCAGGGTTCGATGCCGGCACCACGCTGAGCCAGCCTGACCGGTCCGGGTGTGGGGCGTGGTGTGGCATGCCTCTAATCCCAAGATGCATAATGAGACCCTCTGCCAAGTACACACACATTAAAACAAACCACGTGAGCAGAGCCTTGAGCAGCCCATGTGCAGCCTGCTGCAGCCCAGAAGTCAAATGGTGCTCTCTTAAAATGCTGTTGCCCAAATTCAGGCCTTTGCTTTCCCTCAATAGTTATTTAGTTCGTATTTTAGAGTACTTATGACTTTCTAAAAGTTCTTATAATTATTTGTCTGTCAGTTCATGTGTGTTCATGCATATGCCAGGTCAAAGAACCATAACAAAATGCTATCCTTTTCCTCATAGGTATAGACTAGAGGCTTGAAAGTTCAATTTATCAGTGATGTGGGCTTCATTTTGTGGCTTTTTCTTTTGGCTTGAAGGGAGCTGCCATTTTGCTGTGGCTCAGAAGATGCATGGGGGTGGGGAATGTGTTTGATATCTCATAATGATTATGACCTTATTTACCTGCTAAATATCCTATTTCCAAAAATTAGGGGTTAAGACTTCAACATAACAACTTGGGAGGTAGGGTGGAGGATACAACTCTGTCCATAGCAGCAATAGGGGTGTGTGTGTGTGTGTGCGCACGCATGTGTTACAAAGATACTATAATTATAAAAATATTTAAGATATAAAATATTCTCTATTGTAAATTACATATAGCTAGTTGATTCACATAGAATGCATTTTTGAAATTTTTGCTGAACATAGTAATGTATAGTTATAACTCATGAACAAGCATAATTCCATGATTGTTTGATATTTTTGTTAAAGAATAAGGTGACAGTGAAGCAACTAAGACATATATTAGAACTTCATTCATGTAACTATGGTGTGATCAATTCTTTACTAAGTTAAATACCAACTTTTGAACATTGGATGAATATTTACTCAAAAGCTTGGGGATCCTATTCAGAATGTAACACCTACAGACATAGCACATTTTAAAATGTAATCTTTATTACTAACATTTTCTCCATTACTTTTATTGTGAGGACAACCAATTAAATAGCAGTCAAGCCTCAAGTCCTGGTTCATAGTGTTTGGTGACATTTCCAAGATTAAGTACTCCCACTGTGACCTTTTTCAAACTATAAACATAATGTCACTGAATGTGGCGCCAGGAGAGAGTACCCATAGCACACCACTACACAATCACTATTTCCATCATATAGTTATAATGGGGACAAATAACCTCCAAAGAATGGATGATGGTCGGATGTAAATGGATAATGGTAAAAGTAATCAAGAATTGATGAGCTTTAAATAGTTATTATCTTTGTTTTAATATAACAGAGGCTTTTTCAAGGTCAGTGAAGACTGAGGACAAAGGAGAACCTGTACTGTAACATCCTGTAACTCAATTGTGCCCCAAATTTTCTGATCAAGGAGATTATGGAGCCACAGAGGAATGTGACTGATGATGTAGAGTGTGCCTAAGGAGAGTCACATGGAGAGAAAACATTCTCTCAGGCTTTCACAGAGCAAATTGGTCAAGCAATGACTGTGACTCATCCACATGGCTGACACTGACAAAGGATGTACAAAGTGTGGTACAGAGTTGCAGGATAAATCCTGAGAGGACTTGACTGACCTTATCAGATACAAAAGTAACATAAGTCTTGCTTTATCTTGGCCTTAACCATCCAGCAGAAAAGTATACAAATGAGGTATATAAAGTAAAGCCATATTAATATGCTGAGCTGTAAAAGGCTCTAGTCAACAACTTCTGTGGATAACCCACTACTATTGTGGACTACTGGACTGTGTTGGATTCTTTTGCTGAATTCAAACATCTATAATATTCAGATGCCAATAGAATACCCATCTCTGATAGGACTAAACAAAAAAAGGGGATACAAAGGAAGGACCATTTTGTATTTGTATATTCAGAATAGTTATGACAGATATACAGCTACTTTCGCTTAATTCAATGGGAAGAATGATTTGTAGTAATAGTGTTTGGACAGGATATCCTGTCTGCTTCTTGTACTATGGATAACCACTAAGAAGATAAAAATGTACAATGTATTAATTATTGAAGCTGTCCTATTTATCAGCTTTGAAACTGTCTCATTGATATTTGTTTGTCAATAAAATAAAATAATATAATATAAAAAATAACATAACAGAGGCTTATACAATTGGAGTTTTTAGTAATAGCTATACATACCAACCAGTTTACAAAAGTGCTAAAAATTGAATAATCAGCTCTTGTAAGCCAATACAAGCTGACTGCATTGTTCCACTGTGTTCCTTCATTCAAGAGATTCTTTCAGCCCTTTCCCCTACTTCTTTCAGGTAGTGGAATTCTCCTTAAACTTTAATGATCTCATGCCCACTGCTCAGTTACACTATCTCTAGTATTTTCTTCTTATCTGTCAGGGACCACAAGTTACAAATTGAGTCTAGAGTACGCCCAGCTGACCTCGTCCTGCGTTTTGATCCAGATTGACACGAACAAATTTCCTGCTTTCTTCTGGTCACAGCTGATGCCTTACTGCTCGGACACTGCAGTGTTCATAGGGCAAGATAAGACCTGCTGAGAGAGGAGAATCCTTAAAGAAGTGTAGCAACAACAGTGAAAAACTTCCCCTGGGGAAGCTAAAATTTCTTATTGCTGCTGGTCTCATCCTTGCAGCAATACTTTGTTCTTCCTACTAGCCCACAGCAATCACACTGTTCTTGGAATCACTCACTATGCCTGCCCAAGCACTACCTAATACAATAGTGACTAGCTGGAGAGCTCTCAACTTCACCACTCTGAGGCACTGACTCCCCACTGTCTTGTATTTCATCTTTTTGTTCACATCCATCATACCTCTGTGGTTCTGTGCTCTCGTCAAGGGTCTTAATTTTAGACTGGGCGTGGTGGTGTGCGCCTGTAATCCTAGTGCTTGGGAGGCTGAAAGCAGGAGGATCACTATGAGTCTGACCTGTGTAGTGAGACCCTGCAGACCCTGTACTAAATACAAAAAGAAAAAAAGTCTTAATTTTTCTGAAAGGGAATACAAGAAATTATTAATGAGGAATAGAACAGATTGGAGGACTTTTGGCCCACAGCCTAATATACTCTATTTGTAATTTAAAATTTTTAAGCTAGTCAATTTAAAAATAAATATATTAAAAATTGGTCAGAAAATTGTTCTATGAATATTAGAAAGACTATTGGGTACCATGAATAAATTGA